TACCCCCAGATATAATTTCTCTTCAACTTTGTACCCCCAAAGTTGTTGGTGTATAATTCAAGTTATACATAGTATATAATCTATATCTAAAATCAATTAAATAAATTACATTACTGATTATTCAGTGTTTATCATAAAATATATATATATATATATTTTAAAATTTCACGTACCCCCTAAGATGTCTTCGCGTACCCCCAGATATAATTTCTCTTCAACTTTGTACCCCCAAAGTTGTTGGTGTATAATTCAAGTTATACATAGTATATAATCTATATCTAAAATCAATTAAATAAATTACATTACTGATTATTCAGTGTTTATCATAAAATATATATATATATATATTTTAAAATTTCACGTACCCCCTAAGATGTCTTCGCGTACCCCCAGATATAATTTCTCTTCAACTTTGTACCCCCAAAGTTGTTGGTGTATAATTCAAGTTATACATAGTATATAATCTATATCTAAAATCAATTAAATAAATTACATTACTGATTATTCAGTGTTTATCATAAAATAATACATTTTTTTTTTAAATTTTACGTACCCCCCCTAAGATGTCTTCGCATACCCCCAGGGGTACGCGTACCCCCAGGTTGAATACCACTGCTCTAATGCATTGCTACTAAAATGAAGAGTCGAAACTGATCTGAAATGTTAAGTTTAAGAAAAATATTGGCACTTAAAGGATCAAAAATCTTCACAAGTAAGGACACTAAACCACAACGAGAGACAAGCAAAAGCAAACAAGACTCCATATCAACATATTCTTATTTTAACAAAAATATAACCGAGATTCTAACAAATTTGCAGTTACTGTATTGGCAAAACAGCAGAAAAACATTGTTTAATAACGGACCTTTATCCTTATGTAAGATGCGAGAAACCAATATTTTAACATACGACATAAAAGTATCCATCAAGTAACTACAGTGAGAATTAATGATGCTTCACTTTCAATTTTATCATATGTACTCACCGATATAAAAATTACTATACTCCACCTCCTCTCACGTGTCTTCCACGGCCATCATCAACTTTCACCTGATTCACCCCCAATTACATCACTTCCTTTAGATCCAACATTTTTCTTCAGCACACAATTTCATATTTTCTACAATCTGATTAAAACTCACAAAATAACAATTTTTAGAATTTAAGAAATAACTCGGCCAGTTATGAAATATACAAAAAAAGAAAAGAAAGAAACAGCATCATTTACTACTGTAAAGCCAATTTTAATTTAAGACACTTCCCTCAGTGTTAGTCAAGTGTATAAAGCAACTGTCTCACTATTATTATTACTTTTGTTATTATCTCATGGCTAACGCAAGCCATCCCCAAACCTTCCTCCCTTAAACTACTACGTATCTACCCCTCCACATGCCCCGCTCAGTCATAACAGCTGGAGGGTAAGAATGTTTACCAAAAGAAAAGTATAAATGGAGAAACTCCTTATCTCGTCTCGTCAAATACTGAAAAAAAGTAACACTTATATTAACATTAGCATCGATATTGCAGCTAAAATATAATTACAAAACTTGTGTAATTTCCTTGGCAGTAGGCTTCATCGATACTGTTGTCAAAACAGTTTACTTATACAAATATTATTCCACCAACACAGCCCAGTTCTTGACGTGACAAGAAATCACAGTTTTATAAAGAACAACATTAATTTTATGGTCAAATACAACACCTAAGCAAAAGACGATGTTCAGGAGACATATGACGGGTCAACCTTATGCAAGGATAGAGCGTTCGTCATGTAACCAGACATAAATATATTTCAACGTGACTTACACTTTACTGATTACAGAATAATATCGGCCACCTTTAACAGGAGAGATTGGTGTTCAGTATATTAATAATTTATTATTGAACTATACAGTATAGTGTATCTCACTTCAACACACCATTAGCACCATTTTCTTGACATTTATGCTATTGCATAATAAATTTTAAATCAATACTTCTGTAACTTTTTCAATCCATGAACCACTTGGTCTCACATACCCCTTTCTCATAGGGACTTAACTGTTATTTCAAAATATATATAATCATGAGATATAAAAATGTTTGTAGGTCCTCTTGAGCTACGATTGACAGTATATGAAATGTAACTCACATACCCCATGAGCTATATGTAACCTTTGTTCAGAATCAGTACCTTAAATCAGTGGTCCCCAACGCGGTGCCCACGGGCGCCGCCAAGGCTTTTTTTGGGTGCCCGCGTTGTTACGGAAAGAGGTTATACTGAATAATGAAGGCCGTTCGACCATTAACATTATAAAATCAAAGCGCAGATCTTGACTTACTGACGCCCATCTTGACGATTGTTTTCGAGCAGCAACATCATCCTACACTCCCAAATTTGAAAAACTGGCCGATGAAATGCAGCGCCAAACATCACACTAACTTCCCACTTGAGTTATAATAATTGTACTTATAAAAGTACGTATTTTTGATTGCATGGTTTCTTGTATCATTAAACGTCGTGTTGTTTTGCGTATTATTTGGTGTCCATGTCTTATTTGTCCAGAGAAAAGAAGATTTGGCTTTAATTGGTTGGTGCCCGCCACGATCTCATAAACTCTCAAATGTGCCTGTAGGCACAAAAAGGTTGGGGACCACTGATGTATATGTATGGGCATAGAGACATAACCTATTCTTTTACAAACACATTTACCAATATGCAAATACCTACTAATGAAAGTTTGTTAACAAAAATTCCTAATGACAGAGAATAATTCAGAAATACTTGTATGCTATGTTAACATTATATTACATTTGCCAGTACCCACAATGTGAAGAAGTTCACATCACATTAACTTCAAATATTAAAAATTGTAAATTTTATTCTTCATAAATGAAATAGTCACGACTATCTGCAACGTGTAAAACTTATTTAACAAGAACAAACCAAAGCTGTGTTCACATTTAGTGATGAAAACTCATTACTATACAAGCACAGAAAATAAATTGTTCTACAAAATTAAATGACAATACATTTTGCAAGTGTCGTCAATCTATACTGCAGTACCAGTTAATTTTATCACCCGAGTTGATTCCGTACCACACTTGACTACCGTACTCCACATACAACTCGAGTCAGACCTCAGGTTGGATTTACAAGTATTACGATCTTAAAATACTTACTAATTTAAAAACAGATCAAATAAAAATATTATTTATAACAAAGAAGCAAAAGTTTACAAATAGTACGCAATGCAAGGGGTATAAGGATAATGCATCTCGACTAAAATCAGGACTAAACGATTTTATATCCACACTATACAGAGGTGGTACACTAAGGGCAGAATAATAGCAAATTGTCTGTCTACTTCTTTACCGTATATCAACTACCATTACACCATAGACTACACTGGTTTAACTGCATGGTCCCATTTGATAAACAATTGTTTGTTGTTTTTCCATTATGTTGGCAGTCAATATTCTCTATTCTGATGGCATACTGTTTTTGGTGATGACACTGAAATGGAGACGGATGGGAAGAAGGATAAGAGGGAGACCACGGAAACGATGGATAGATGACGTGGAGCAGGATGTGAGGACGATGGGAGTGAGGGGATGGAGAAGAATTGTGAATGATAGGACAGAATGGAAAAAACTCGTCGAACAAGCTAAGACCCACACAGGGTTATAACGCTACAAGAAGAAGAAGAAGAAGACGACTGCAATGAAGTAGAATGTGAAGTTTGCTGTCTTCTGGGTTGTTAAGCCGTGTAGTCTCAGAGGTCCTTGATGCCTCCATCATCAGGGAAATGAGTGGACTAAACGGCGCAACAACCCAGAAGACGTAATCTTCAGATTCGCCGCCGTGAAAACCTAAAATCCTACAAGTAGACTGTGTTAGCATTGTTTCAGAAATACTTGGTGTCTTCATCTTTAAGGTAGTGTAACTCCTAAGCAGTCTTTGCAGACACTTATAGTACACATGTTCTTCTGAGCACCGAGTGTTAGCAAATGGGAAGAAAACCCCTAAATCTTTTAACGAGTTAAAAGGGTTCTCAGAAAAGCCTCTAAGGAAGGAATATTTCCAGTCCCACTGAGCTACACAAACTGCACATTTTTTCCCAAGCTAACCATATAATCCCTTTGAGAGAGAGACCCTACACCCTTTTAAGCTCTTTCTTCCTATATGATTGCGCTCCATGCCCATACAGAGGATATGTACTGTAAATATTTACATTGGCCAACGAGAGGTCACACATTCTTCAATATGAATTGCAGATTTCTTTAGAAGAAGGCAGTAATGTCTGTACTAAGTAAAGTTCAACAAAATGCCATAATTAAAACATGTGTTGTAACCTGAAATTACATAAGTTTAAGAGTGACAAATACTCGTATTCCTGTGAATGCAGCTGAAAGCTGGTACTGATGCCAAACTGTAAGTTATTTTGTCCGTAATTTGCAGCAGTTTTATATGTTGTACAGTCACAATGTTTCACTGTTCGTGCGATGTAATAGGAAGCATTCCTCTTTTCCAATTTTTTAACTTTCTATTACATGTACACGAGCTTTTGTGGGCTCATATTTTAGTAGTATTTCAAATTTCACTCAAAAACTTATATACTTTCCCACCCCTAAAAGGCACAAAGCCAAAGAGTTACATAGCCGACATAAAGGTCACTCCGACAACAATCTCGATAAATTCACTCCGATGTCAAAATGCGTGGGTTTCGGTATAAACATAACAGCAACTTCATACAGCTACAATTAAAAGATAACAATATGGTCCAGTGAAAAACGTATTTAATAATTATTTTAAAATTTCAAATGTAATAGAATCCATACAGTTTATGCTCTGTTCTAACAAAAATTTGTTTCTATTGATAATTAGTTGAGGATACTGGAGAAGAAAGTTATAGGTAGATAATTTTTTGTATGCTAAAAGTGTAAAAGAAATGGGGGGAGGGGAAATTGATATATCAGCTGCGGACATGGACCTCTGCAAAGTTGTCACAACTCAAATCAAAATATTTGTATTTATAATTACTTTTACCAATCCCATGCATACAAATAGTTTGTTCTTTAATCCATCTGTTTCATGCAGATGTACATAAAACATTTAGCTATATCCATCCCTCCACACAAAATTTTAGCTCTTTACGCAATCTCCAAGTTCTCCGACCCAATTCTGTGTTGTACGATCAGCGAGGGGCGACTGGCCATTCGGATTCCATCCAGAGATTCTCTCCAGTCGTCGTAGGCGATCCATTAAACACTGAGGATGGCACATCCAATGGGCTGTTTGAGTTATACCTTCAAGACAAAAAATAAACATCATAAATCCTAACTATACCACAACAAAATATGATATATTATAAACATTTCTCACAAGACGAAAAACTACAGCCACTTCTGATAATATAAAACATTTGTAGGAAATTCGTACAATACAAATGCAATTCTACAGATATCGAATTATGAATCATAAACAGTCATAAATAACCCAACCAAGGTCCTTACAAACCCAGAAGGGGCAGGTAACACAAAATTACATAATTATCTTAAAGTAACATAAAGATTAATATGAAGTTGTAATTTTACATTTCAGGTCAGAGGCATGTTTGAGAACAATCAATATTTAAGTAAAATTACAAACTTAAGCAGACATTAAGTGGACATTATACAACGATATACAACTTCCTAATATGAGGATATGGACAATTTTAAGAACGAGCGGTAATTGCAGAATCTGAAGGCTTCTGTAGACCAGAACGTTTTGCAATCAAGGAAGTTCATTAGTGAAAATATTCTTCAATAAAATTCTTTCCCCCATACATAAATCTGCCCTGCAGATCACAGATTATTCATCCCTTATCTAAAATAACATACCACATGACCCATATTAAGTGTTACATAATCATTCTTGAGTTACAACAAAAAACATCGCATTGATTATTCCGTTCCGCTATACATGTAACAAAATCATGAAATTTTGAAATAAAAAATTTTCAATATCAACATGGCAATATATTAATAATCCTAATGAAAATCTACTATATAAATTTACTAGAATTCAAATCTAAGAACACATGCAAAAGATTTTATAGAGCACTCAGGTTGAAAATTTACCTATTATATTTCCCATGTAATGGCGAAGTCTCCCCTGCGACCAGTCCTAACCTCATGGCATCGTCAGGATAACTCGCACCTGCAACACTGCTGCTGCTACTGGCATACCCTGGTGCCACACTCAAATGCTGATTCCATATCGTTGGCAAACGAGACTTAACAATGGCAGTTCCAATATCAGACTCGGTAGACCTTGAAAGACGAGAATCACTGCCCCTTCTTATGGTATCTGAATATAAAGGCTGATATTGCGAAGTATTGAAATTTACATTATGGTTAAAATGCCTTGGCATTCGAAGTTTTTCCACACTGCCTCCAAGAAAAGACACATTTTCTCCAGCAGTCGATCTGGTCTGCATGCCTTCACCTGATGATACCGAAGTCCCCTGGTTGTGCTTCGGCAAATAATTCTGATCAGTCAAGCTAAAATCATCTACAAATCCATTCATGTCTTTGGTCACATTTTCTGTAATCAAAGGTTTAAAATCATAATCAGTATAAGAACTTGGGTGTGATCTAGGAGAAACTGATGATCTTCTGCTATATGTAGCTAATCCATCATCATAATCATTTTCAGCAAGCACAGACTGGCTTCTGTACGGTTTCCGAAGGTGATACATAGAGGCATAGTCTGCAGGATGGTCCATTTTCCTCGAGAAATTTCGTGGATGATGTTGGTAGGAAAGAGAATCTGTATCTCGGTATGAAGACGAAAGACAGGCGACAGGAGAGAGGGATGACTTTCTATGTCTCTTTTTAACATCATTAAATCGTGAGTAGAAGCTTTTCCTACGTATTCTATCACCGACACTTTCTTCAACATCATTTCCTGGTAGAGGAACAGGTGACGGTGGAAACTCGCGGTTTTCGGCGTCTGAGCAAACAGACCATGAATCGAAACTTTCTGATTCATCTGCTGGGGATAACACAGATGAATCATCAGCTGGATATGAGTGTGAATCGAGACATTTAACATCCGCAAATTTTACCTCATCATCATTCAAACTGTAATCATCTACAGGTGAATTATCAAATGCATTATCTGTGGTTGGCGATATTCCAGAATTTGTACACGGCTTCAGTTCCTCTGCTTTACCTGCGTCAACACAACTCTTAGATGAAACTTGTGCATCATTTTCTCTTCTTACAAAGTCATTTTTATTTCCACAATCATGGGGGATACACATTGCTTTCGCAGCCGATGTTACTTCCTGCATCACCAAACTTAAACCCTCATTTGTATCTACAGATGTCTCCAGTTTCTTCACTATAAGAGTATCAGTTGATTCTGGTGCAACTGCTACCAACCCCTTCAATCCAGTGAGAGTATCAGGCTGAACTAATTTCGTATTGCTTTCCGTTAGTGGCCTCATATTAAACAGATCCTTAGAGCATTTATCCAGCTCAAGTTTATGTGCACTTTTAGCATCTGAATCTGAACGTGGGTCACTTCTAGGTTGAGCTTTGATACTTGTTTCAATTATGTTCTTTGTTTTAGATTTAATACTGCCTCTTTTTATAAGTTTTGGAACACCACTTCCCTGCTGCTTTACTGCAATGCCTCGTTCGGATATACTGATCTCTTGCACGTTGCTGGAATTATGAACAGCTGCTTCATTGCCCAACACATTTTCAACAGTTAACTCTGCTGCCTTTTTATTTTCAAGCATATTTAAGCCTGGATTCTGTGACTGGGTCTCTGTCTTCTTACCAGTTTCCAAATCTTTCTTATGAATTGTCGCATGACTTTCAACAGGGTTTTTCTTAACCACAGAAGAATTTGAATTAGCTTTCTTCAAACGTAAAGGACGAACGGGCTTGAATTCCGAGGACCCGCCTATATCTGCGCCATGGTCCAATAAAACACTGTCACTCCGAGAGCCACCATACACTGACTGAGTACGTCTGAGACGAGATAACACTGAAGGTCGAGGAGGCGATAACTTACCAGTTTTACCTGGAGTATCTTCTAGTTTCCGAAATAAACCTAGAACAGAAGTCACTTTGCTTCCCAGTTTCGAAGCAGCATTTTCTTTCACAAATGGCTTATGGTTTTTGGAGCTTGACTCAACAGTGCAACACTCACTCACAGAAACTGCACGTTTCAAAAGGTGTGATTCTGAAGTAATGATATCGCCACCACGAGGTGTTAAGCTATGTTCACGCAGAGAGTGAATGGCTTTGTCTACACGACTTTTGCCAGAATTACTGATTGATGGAATACAGTCACCTGATGACCTGAATTTTTCAAGTTTTTTCTCCAGCGAATGTAGGAATCGGCTCTTGTTATTTGAGTTGCTGGACTGTTTTTCAAATGCTGTACTACATTTCTCCACTTTTTTGGTATCATTCATATCATTTAACTTTTCCCTCATTTCATTTCCAGTCCCGTTCCCTTCTCCAGTTTGTTCCAGCTCACTCTTGATACGGTTTTTCGAGTTTATATTATTATTCTCAGTATTTATATTACCTGAAGATACAGAAATAGACTTTGTCTTCAATCTATCTTCACTGAGAATTGATGATGATCCAATTTCTGTAGAATCCTGCACTTCAGATGGAGACTCTTTATCTTCTGCAACCACCTTCTTTAAGTTCTTCCTCAATTTTAACTTATTTTCCATTTCAGCTGCTTTCTTTGCATCTTTTTCCTTAGCATAAACACTCTCCTCTCGCGGGGTATCAAAGAAATCTGGACGCAGAAACCGGGAAATGCGGCGCTTCTTTTTAGAAGTATCCTTATCATCGCTCGCGGAATCAGCTTCACGTGTCGCAACTTTCCCCTCAGAACTTTGCCTCAAAAATCTGCTCAGTATTGAACGATCAGGTGTGGAGCGCGGTGAATTAGATGTTCGTAGTTTCCTTACAGAATCTGTGCCCTCCTTATCATTATTAGGACGGTCTCTCTTCTTTTGCTTTTCTACGTCACAATTCACGGTAGATGACCGGAAACGAAGCAATGATGGAATCTGACTGCGGCCCTTAGATTCTGAAGATGATGACGCATTAATGCTGTTTTTACTTAATGAATTATTCTGAAGCTTATTTCTGATACCAGACATGCTTCCATGGACCAAGCTGGAATTGCCCATATTTTGAAACTCTGAGTTATTCAGTTGAGAAGGCATACTTGAATTGTTACTTGTGCTTTTAGAATTAACAGATGAACTGGAAGATTTGTCTACTTCGTAATTAAAAGAAGCCTCCAATTCTGCATTCACCTTGTCTGTGGGTTTACCAGCATATGAAAAAATTGATTTCTTTTCCTCTGACCTAGCAATACTAGGAAGGGATGATGAATGGTGAGGACGATCCTGTAAAAATTCTTCTTCAATACTCGAGTGCCGCAAATGATGGCTACTACCATTTGAATGATATCCGTATGAGCGCTGTCTGGCGCTGGATGAGCTTTGGCTAGCTTCTCTCTTTCGTCCTTGAGATACAGTATTGTAAGGCAATGGCGGGAGAACTCTGTCCATATCCAATGGCTTATTGTAACGGCCATAATCGCCACAATCCGATGATGAACCACCTCTGTGAGTAGACATGCTGATAAAATTTCTATCTTTTGAATCTAATAAACTTAGAGATCTACGAGTTGGAGGCAGATGATCTTTCCTTGTATATCTAGTGGATTCTTCAGTTATAGGCATACAATCTTGCCTGCACAGAGATACAGAGGAGTTTTTATGAATGCTCTTTCCTTCTTGACCTCCAAAATCAGAACAGTAACTATTTCTAGAAGACAAATCAACGTTCCTAGGTGTTCTACTGTTATACATCTCGTCAGCTGTGCTTCGCAAGGAAAGTGTCCTTGATAATCTTCTGGAAGTGTGTTGGGGAATATTACTACCCTGAGATGCCAATGAACCGAGAGACGATTTTCTTACGGGTGCAAGATAATCTGATGGTGTGGTTTGCTGATTCCTATTTGACTGGCTTCCTATGTCTTGGCTGGATGAGTCCCGGTAGGAAGGCATCTGCCGAGCCAAGCTTGGCGCGTAATAATATGAGCTACTCAAGTCACTTCCTGCATCATCACTTATGCCACCACGGTCAAATCTTGATGGACCTGTTTGAACAGAGTTACAATAATAAGTTTTCATATTGATTATGAAAACATCTAGTCAAGCTTGCAGAATTTTGTGGTTATAAGAAGTTACAAATATGCCAATTAATACAGAGACATAAGGATACTGAAAGAAAGAAAGCCTGACTTACAAGATAAAAACTGTAATTCATGTACACCTTTGCTTTTCAAGGACAAGCCATGTCAAATGTTTAAAATTATCCAGTGTTTCCACAAACACTGCAGTTGTCAACTTCAGGGTGAATATGTAATGGCTGGGCATTTTTGACAGCCTTACATAGGGAAACCCCCCCCCCCCACACACACACACACACCATGTCTGCATCCAGCCCTTTGTCAAAAATGTACAACCATTACATATTCACACTGAAGTTGGCAACTGCAATGTTTGCTGAAACACGAGATAATTTTCAATATTAAATGTGGCTCATCCCTGAAAGCCAAAGCTACACACTGAATTCCAGCCATAAAAACCTAAAGCAAAAACTGTAATTCATATTTACCTATTATTACCTCAAATTGTAAATGGAAACATATATGAAACGTAGAAAGTAAGGTGTTGATAAAAAAATTTAAGATCTGACAACTTGCAGCTGATAATGAAAAATAAATGACCAAATGATTCAGAAGACAACTAACTACTTTATACATACACAAAGAGCTACAGATTGCAACATCCTGTTAGCACAGAAACACATATTATTCTACGTGAAAATTGTACTCATCTGAACTACAGTGTTAGAATACTAGTCATATATATAACACATAATTAGATAAAACTGCACATAATAGATATACATACGGGAAACACATTTTATCATTATCCAAACTCATAATAAAAACTCATACGACAGATGGATAATATTCTTTAAGATTTCAGCAGTACATACACTAATAGAGGTACATATTTTTCATTCCCCACGCTCAGTAGTAGTATAGTAGTGGTGATGGAGTTGGTGGTGGAAGTGTCTACTAATAGGTTGCTGTAGTGGTAGCGTTGTGTCGGGGGCGGGGCAGGGTGGTGGTGGTGGGGGTAGCTGCCCCCCCTCCGCCTCTCCCCCGTCCTCCCACAGGGACATGCACGGTCAAACGTACGCTCGCTGCAAACAAGCCACAAACAAACACAAGACAATGCACGGTAAAGAAAACCATCTGCCATATTTGAATCAAGACTTGTGAATTGTAATTCTGAAACCAAGAGTGTGTACTATTTAATCTAGTCAAACCCACCTTTTCCCCATGTCCTGAAAGGAAAGAAAAGGCTTTCGTGCAGTTATGACAGAATATCTTTCCCCATTTCCAATAAGTTTTAAACCAGGAGTGTCGATCTCTATTAGAAACAACGAATGGTGGAAAGGCAAACCTTTAAGGCTGGATTGACTACCAACCAACCTGCTATCATATTTTGAGTGATGGCAAACCTTTAAAATGTTTCATGGAGCCACCAACAATCAACATGAGACTATGACATTTTGAAAGGTGATATTCAAAATTCTCAATTTCATGAATGTAACTTTCACTGTGAATTAAAACATACATATCAGCTATAACTGCTTCACAATTTCGTAACAGTAATTTGCTTTACATTCAGTCAATGGAACCTTTAATTTCTAATAATATGTATTCAAAACTGAACTAACCTTAACCATGTATGATCTTCATACAGATAAAATTCCTTAATTCAGTAGCCTTCATCCCTATCGTTCCCAATTATTTTCTTAAAAACATAACTGGTTTCATGATGCAAAAAGCATTTCAAGCAGTTGTCGCACGGAAACAACTTAATGCATGAAGCAATTACTATAACGGTAAATAATAAAACAAAGGTCATCAGGAATATATATTCACAAGGTTGGTATAATTAATTATTTCAGTAGAGTTTAATGAAACCACAGGCAAAGAATAGGCACAATTAGTACCTTTTATGGGTCAACAGGAATAACACTGACAGAATAAATAAATAAGCAATTTAATTATTTCAATGCAATCTGCAGGCACTTACAGAACAGCAACTTTTTTTT